CCTAATGATGAATTTTCCTGAGGCTTTTTAATGTGCTATACTAGTGATACAAAATTCACTTAATTTGTTATTTGCAGTTGCTGTGCATGTAGCATTTTAAGTACACCATTTTAGAACTTGTTTTCGTTATGCTTTAGAAATATGCACATGAATTCAAACTGTACCCAGGACAGCATCAATGAGTCTCACTGCTGGGTAGGGCTGTGCCGAATATCCGAATAATCAAATTTTGATCATTTTTCAAATATTCGGATATCATTTTTTGAATTTGAATTTTCATATGCAAGTTTCATGAAAAGGAAGCAAAAACTTTCTTTTGTTTTAAATGAGAAAAATTGCACTATGGAGGCATGTTTCAAGTAGATTCAAATGAAAAGCGTCAGACATCTTACAACGATTTAAAAAGTAAATTATTCATTAAACAATTTAAAAGGAATAGAAATTATCATCGGGGTGAGAAATCTTGTTCATCTCTTTAATCTTGCTAAATCATGGCTGGAGAGACTCCTAGATGCGAGAAGCTATTACATTGATCATAATGTACAACTGTGTGTGCTATTGCAACTGATTTTGCATATGGTTTGTTCATCAACAATCTGCTGGTCAAATAGCAAATTATTCAAATTGACTCTGCCGTACTGCTGGGATTGAAGAATCAGCAGTTAATGGTTAGGATGTACTGACAACCCTTCAAAATGCTATTCTCATTCCATAGGAAATAAATTGTAAATCCTTCCTAAATCAATTTTTTCCTAAATCTGGACATACACTACATCATCCCTCAATCAAGATTCTTCTGACACTCCAGTGGCCTGAGTCTTGCTTCAGTTCCCCAAACTCATGGTATTGATTTTTGGAAGATTAACATGTATTTGGGTTATAAAGATGAACAAAATAATTGACTGGAGCGGGATTTGAACCTGCAAACTCTAGAATTCTGCACTGGTGCTCTACCAACTGAGCAGTCCGGCCCTACGTAGTTATCTTTGTCTGGGGGCGGTAGTTAGAAGCCGTATAACTTGAAACACCATACAGCCAGGGATCATGCCCCAATTATATATGATGCACTCCGTACTTATCCCTATTTACCACTTCCCAGGTTGCAAAGATAATTGACAAATGGGAAGAGCCACTAATGTAGGGCTGGATAGCTCAGTTTGTAGAGCACCAGTAGGAAGTTTCAGGTTCAAATCCCACTCCAGTCAATTACTTTCTTCAACTGCATAATTAAATGTAATCACCTAGTAAGTTTCTCTACCTGGTATGTATAGTTTTTTTCTTGTATTCAGGTTGACAGTTGTATGAAATTTATCATTTCAAAACCATTGCTCCTCCATACTGTCCAAAGGTGCTACAAGACCAGCTGGACGAGCTGACCCAAGAGAACGAGCTGCTGAAGCATCAAACCTCGGAACGCAAGATCAGGCGGCGGGGCAGTAAGCTTCAGCACTCCAACAAGCCCAGTCGGGTGGGCTCGGTGCTATCGGACTACACCAAGCCGGCCGTTATCAAAAGGTCCAGCGGCCACTCCTCATCAGGTAGGTCAAAGACCGTCCTACACTGTGGGTCACTACCCTTGCTGGACCATAACATAATGGGAGTCTTTTCACACAAACACATTACTGAAAAACCATCTGCGAATTGTAGCACATTGTTCATGTGCTGCTCATTTATCTGTGGGGATGTGAAGTATAAATATGATAAATAAAACTGTAATTTTGGTTTATTTTCATCTGAATGTGCAAACACAGCTTTGCGCTTCGTCCAAAGCAATAAGTGCAGGATTCTTATAATCACAGCCATCTTGAATCCCCCCCCAGTGCAACTTCTCTGCTAGATGTTCCGTGGAATTTTCATCATCCCTGATCATACCCCCATATGTTTGCCAGGTATCCGTTTTCGGTATAAACATCAACTGATCCAGTGAGCTTCTTGGCTATATTTCAATTTCATTAAGCTTTGGTATTCCTCTGTTTCATCCTCGGCAGAGAACGAGTCTGAACTGGAAGAGTTGGACCCTCAGAGTAAGAGACGGCTACCTCTGACAGCGAGGTCCGGCGGCGATGGAAATAGCAACGAGGAAGAAGACTCTCAAAGTCAGTCATGCATAGTATTTACTTGTGTGGAAATGTAACAAAGGCATTATGTTAGGAGACTTTATACTGAAAGCTGTAGACGTTATTAACCCCTTGACGACGGGAATTTCTTTCCGAAAGCCGACTCCAAGAATTCCAGCCTCACTTGGCCACGAAGGCCACCTGCCAAACCGCAAATTCTTGGTTTGTGGCCCTGCGTGCTCTGCACGCTTTGAATTACACGGTGAAAAGGCTGATTGTTCGGTGGCATGCGGCTCTACTCACGCTTCCACATTCCCGTTGCCTCTTTTCAAAGTGGGGACTATTGTAAAGCTGGTGATTATGATGCAAATTCGGTCTATTCATTCCTGGGCTACACACAAAGACCAATTACCATATATACAAGAGCCAGGGTCTGCCTTCTTTCACGGTGTTCGATCGAGCGTGGGCTGAGAATAATAGCTGAAAAGTGGGCCGAGGATCTCAATTTTTACAGCGTGTCTTGTCGCGTCCCGAGGCGAAGGGGTTAATGACTAAGACATTTTCAGTCCTGTTCTCTGAGTGTATTTTATAAAGATTTGGTCTCTTGAATTCAAATTCATTCTTGAATTCGCGTTCAAATTCCTTATTTCATACATGCACTTACTTCCATGTTAGTGCAAAACTTATAAAATAAATAATTTGCTAAATAAATAGCATCAAATTCTGAAATTTGACTCTGGACTAAAAAACGGACATGAAGTGGTGAAATACAGATGTGAAGTGCAGGAAAAATCGAGGCAATGCTAATAGCGAGGTTTAAAAATGAACACGATGATGAAATTACCATGCGACTGATTATTTTGCTATGCACATGCAGAAGTACTATGCAGATTTCTCAGGTTATGAATTCAGTAACCATTTTTCCCTCCCCAAATCAAACCAGGAGCCAAGTTAGAGGCAGAGATCGAGTTGCTGAAGGAGAAGCACAGCAAGGAGCTGGCCGAGTCCCGCACAGCCTTTGAGCGTGACTGCAAGGACTTGGAGTTCCGCTACAAGATGGAGATCACTGACCTGGAGGATGGCTTCGAGCGTCAGAAGGAAGAAATGCAAGAAGAGTTCCAGCGGGAGCAGCGGCAGCTGATCGAGGAGGTGGAGCGACGATTCAGCGGCGAGAAGCAGGAGATGGCCCAGCAGTTTGCCCGGGAGAAACAGGAGCTGGAGGAGTTCTTCTCTAAGGAGACCACAGAGCTCAGGTGAGCCATGACTCCAGTCATCTGTATAGGAGGCATATTGGAACTAGAGGTGTGGCTGCACTGCTGAAAAGCCACAGAATTCCCAGGCGTTAAGGCCATTAAACCCCATTCTGTCAGACCTGAATTAGCTAACTGTAGAGGTTTTACCAGTCAGTAAAGTCAGGTGGCTAGAATGTCTGGCCAGATTATTTTAATTCTCACTCATCCTACATAAGCCTGTGGTTACAGCTCAGTTCCAATCAACATGCAGCGAAATGCAAAACAAAGAGGTCGTTTACTCCCGTAGTTTGAAGGAAGAGCTTGGATATGATCAAGGCTGACTGGAGCTGTCAATCAAATCAGTCAGACATATAGCCCAGGACAGAGCAGAGGCTGGTATGAGACTTGAGCTGGACCAAGAGAGGGTGCAATTTCTTAACACCTAGGAGGCTCTTTTGGTCGAAACTGAACTTTGCTGGATCACAAAAGTCTAGGAAATGCAAGCGTTACAGTCTCATCACTACTAACAAAGTGAACACTCCCATTCAATGTGGCTTTTTTCAGCCGATTACGGGGTGCTTCTGCTCAAGGCGGATAGGGGAAAGGCTATTTTTCAAAGGGAAGGATTGTAGAAAGCCTGAAGGCCCTTGCTTTGCCTGAGCATGGCCTGGCTGTTCAACTGCAAAGTTTGGCCACTGGTTCCAATTTACTTCCTTACTTGGCAAACAGGGGGTCCATGCACATGCGCTGTGCCTTTAGAACAGCCTTTCCCAAGGGTTTCCGCACATCAGCATCTCTTCAAACTTTTCAGAAATCCATCAGTCATTAGTTGCTGACTTTTTCATCAATTTCTTTGTTAAGGGCCGTGATACGCTTTATAAAAGTGCTCTTTAAGATGCTTCTTTTTACGAAATTAAATTTGACATTAGGGAGACGTTAAGGGAGACACTGCATGTAAGGGACACATTTCTATGTCTCCCTCTTACCACAACTCTCAGAGAGAAATGAAATGTTTTGTTTTTAGTGTGAAGTTAGGAGTTGAGAGTCTGATAAGCAAATGGACAAAACCAGTTTCAACAAGCATTACCATTTGGGAATTTGAACTTATTATAGTTTGTTCACAAGTCTGTTAAAGGTACCATTTGAGGTATTATACTTTTTATATCCCATTCTGACAAGACCTTTTAGGCCAAGTTGGAAAAACAGCTATATAAGCTTGTTGGCCAAGTTGGTATTTCATTCAACTTCCTGGCCATTTTGAAGCATGCTGTCTCATATCTGTCCTGTCAAAAGGGATCGCTTGGAGGCTGAGTACAATGTGGAAATGGACAACCGGATTGCTGAGGTCAAGCAGAAGCTGCTGGATGAGAAAGCTAGCGTGGAGAAGGAACTCTCTCAAGAGAAGTCCTCACTGAGCGAGGAGGTCATCCGGGAGAGGAACGCTGCTGAGGTCCGGCTAAAGAAGCTGCAGTCGGAGCTGGAGCTGCGCTTCCTGGAGGAGAAGGGTGAGATGCAGGCCCAGTGGGAGCGGGAGCGGACCGAGCTGGAGCTGATGTACCAGGAGAAAGTCCACGAGCTGGAGATGCTGTTCGTGGACGGGGAGGTGGGCCTCAAGGGCCAACTCCGGAGGGACTTTGACCAGCTCCTGGCCCAGCACCGGGCTGAGATTGAGCACGGCTTTGAGCGGGAGAAGGAGGCACTGCTGGAGGAGCTGGAGATGGAGAAAGCCGACCTGCTGAAGGTCAGCAAAGGTGACAAGGCCTCCCTCCTGCAGAAGGCCAAGGAGGAGAGATCGGAGCTGCTCAAGAGGCACAAGAAGGAGACTCTGGAGCTGGCCGAGCGACACAAGAAGCTGGTGACAGACCTGGAGGACCGTCGGGAGAGAGAGAAGGCCGAGATGGAGGAGCGGATGCGGCGGGAGCGGCAGCGTGCCAAGCAGGAGCGGGAGAAGCTAGAGTCACGCTTTCGGCAAGAGCTAAGCAAGATGGAGATGAGCCTGACAGTCAGCAAGGACGAGCTGGAGAGATCAGTCCACGAGGAGGTTGAAGACAAGCTCAGAACAGAAATTAGGGTGAGAATAAAATGGTCATGAAGGGATACCAAATATCTGGCCAAAAATGGTGGATGCTTGGATCACAGTTTAAAAGGAGTTTCAAATGCAAAATACACTTTTTCCTGATTTTGTTGGGCTTGAAAAGAAGTCATTTCTCTGCAGGTACATGACTGTTGCAAAATGAGTACTTTGTTGCAATAAAAGCATTACCGTAGTCTCTGATGCAGTTATTATTCCTGTGAAGAATAACCTTGAGGGTGGTACGACAAGACAAAAGTTGAACTGTTCTATTGCTGTTGAAGTCGGAAAAAAGTTTGTTAGTGGTCTTGAATCAGATTTCTTTGCCATTACTTTTCCAGAGGGAGATGGAAAAAGAGCTCATGGAACAGATGGAACAGTTCAAAAGAGGTTACAATGAGGAGAAGACAGAGCTGATTTACCAGAAAGAGGAGCTTGAATCCAAGCTACAGCAGGTAGGCAAACCCTGGACAGTAAAGGAATCTCACTGATCCACGCAGCCCACTACACATCCATTAATGTCAGAGGCTAATACCGCTGTGTGGCTCTCGGTATTTTAGTAGGAAAGACAGATAGCAAATTGTCAAAGAACTATAGAGCTGGACCAGCAGATAACGACGTATACAGCATTTGATAAAGAACCCATGGTTATAAATTTGAAGTGCAATTAAGGTGCTTTGTAATAAAATAGATGATGTACAGTTATTAAGGTATTGCATCTTGTTTTGGTTCTGACCCACCCATTGCAGGCTGAGGTAGCTGCCCAAGAAGCGGTTAGCGTGGTCACTATGCACACTCTCCAGGCGACACAGAAAGAGGCAGAGGCTGACAAGGTACCGGTCATTTCTCTCAAGAATCCATCTCAAAGTCATTACACGAACCGCAGTCCACTCATATTTCACACTAACCTCCACGTCCTGCAACAGCCGTCCGCAGCGATGTCCATTAGAAATAGCCTTCAGTAGCGGCAGCATCCAATGGCTTTTCACCATGACTGCAAAAAAAGTTGACATATTAGTTGGCTGCTGCTACATGTAGCAAGAACAGGTCAAGAGTTTAGATCATAGTGTGCTGGTGCTGTGATGTTTGAGTTTCAAGTTGAAATCTCACTCGATCTGAGTCGATTTTCTTTCTCCAGCCAAGTAAATGGTCGCTTTGAAAGGGTTGGCTCTGCGGACAGGTGACTGCAGTTTTCTTCATTAGTTCAGTATTTGCCAACAAATTCAAGTGTGTCTGTAAAAGAGATCATGCTCTGCTGGAGCCGAATAGGGTCAGAATGTTTACAGTTTACAGTGCAGTTCACAGAATTCTTGTCTTTGAGAATTTTCACTGACAAGCCATTATTTTTTATCCACAACTCTGATTTCAACCTTGTTTTTTGCCCATGTACCTGTGAAACCATTAATTTGCTGTCATTACATGCGATGCAGACATATTCAGCATTTGAAGAATAGATTAATGAATTTCAAGGAACTGATGGCGTTCTTGGAACTGGAAAATTAGATTTGTCCAGGTTTTTTCATTTGTACAATAATACTCTGCATTTCACTGGCCGACTGGTACACACTCTTAGTATTAGAATTCTGTTGAAAATTTTTTCCAAAGTGCGATATGACAATTGGTGCACCCATTTTCATTTGAAAATCATCTGCCTCACAAGCCTAAATCTTTAAATATCGTCAGATTTCAAGTCTTTCCATGTGTGTCCTTTCTTCTTGACATCTTTACTCCAATAACACCTACTAACAATCACTTTTCCTGTCACCCTGCCGCGCACCCACTACTAGCCCTCATATGACAAGCTGAGTGCTGAGCGTTCTCAGCTCCAACAAACGGTCGGCCACTTAGAAGACAAACTCAAACTGCTTAGTGAGATTGAGGACAGTCACCAGGTCGGCGCTCAGATACATGAGGTCAGAGTTCATTTCATATCAGCTCAGAGTATATGCTCCCCCCCTCATTTTTGGCCATGACTAACAGCTTAACCATTTTCACCACTCATTTTGTCATTCTGCTGAAAGATATGTACATAACCAACTCTGTTAAAATGAGTCTTTAAGTCAGCTGAGCCACTTTGGAGTAAAAAGTCCTTTAGAATAATTTTGCACAGTGTAAATTAAGAGGAGCCCGCAGTATTTTTTACCATGAAGTATCTACTTTCATCAAGATATCAAACTGAATGATACATCAAAATAAAAAACTCAATTTGCTTTTTTTAATACAAATAAAAACTCAAAACGTGGTTCTGGCGACTCAAGACTCATTTTCACAGAGTGAGTCACATATGCTTCTTGTATCAGAAATACTGGAATCTGTCCAGACAAACCAGATACATTGGTACATGTCTTTCACTTTCCAATATTCTGTCTTTGCCTTCCCCCAGGCCCAGTTGATGCTGGTCACCGACGAGAAGGAAAATTTAGCCAAGGATCTGTCTGATGTCAACCGACGAGTGAGTATCAGTCTGTTTTCTTCCGGTTGCGTTCAGAAAGTACATGTAATTGGACCGCAACTCCCTAGTCATTTATTGAAAGGCTCAATCAAGTACGAATGGTTCTTCATGGACTGCTGTGCACTGGAGGATGTGCAAACTAGATCTGGCTGTCTGTGTACACAGTTTCTGTTGATGGGTTAAACTGACTTGCATGCCCCGAGTCATGCTGATGTTTAACAACATCTGATTTGTGAACACACGTAAGGTCTGAGAAGCGGTAGATAGTGTTTGGGACTTGAACTTGGCCATTGGGTAAAGCCTGTTGTGGTAGCAAAATTACTCTGTGAGCATGTTCTAGAGTGTCGAAAAGTATTAGGTTGTAATAAGTGCTATTGTACAAATCACTCTGTCAAATCAGTAATTGTGCCATTTGGCTCAATATCAAAAGTTGGCACCTATATCTTGTGTTTTTTGAAAGGGGAAACTTTTTGCAAGAGTAATCCTGCCTGCAAAGCTATTTTGTATAACGGGTTGCTCAGTGCTTGTCCGAGAGCTTGCGAAAAAATTCACAAGCTTACTCGGGTGGGACTTGAACCCATGACCTCCTGCTTACTAGTGCAGACGTCTTAACCACTCGACCACCGAGCTTGCTGTGGTCAGCTGGTCGGTCTGAGTCAGGTGTAGCAGCGGGTACTGCAAACTAAGCATACAGTGTTTATCAATATATACGTTGGGTAAGGGCAAAACCTGTTATATAAATTAACATCCCCCAACGCAAAATACATCTTGAAGCTATTTGGTTTTCTAGTTCTGCCTGCTGGGGCAGTACATGGGGCAGTGGAAAGGTTTCAAAGGCAGGACGGATGGTGATTAACTTGTGATTGACGTTTAACAGACTTTTCATGACTCATGATGACTTGCAATTACCTCATGATGGGACTTGCCATTCATTTGGCATGTGATGGGCTTGAGACTGACTTTTGATTGACTGCCAATGGCTTGTGAGTGACTTGTGATAGCTTAAGATAGACCATGTTATCTTGCTTTGATTTTATGAGTGACTTTTGATTGACTTAAATTGTGATTGGCTCAAGATTAGCCTTCGATGACTTGTGAATGACTTGTGATTTCCTGTGATTTTGACTTGACTTGTGATACCTTGACTTTGACTTGCTATTGACTCGTGATGACTTGTTATTTACTTTTGATGACACATGATGGCTTGTGATTGACTTGGAATATTTGTAATAAACATGTGGTGACTAGTGATTAACTTGTAATACTTGTGAAGACTGAATTACAACTCTGGTTCATATCCCAACAGCTTCTGGAAGCCCAGATGCAGCTATCCATCCAGGACACCCAGCACCTGCGGGAGCTCCAGCGACTCCGGGACAAGCACACCGAGGCCTCTGCCAAGGAGCTGCAAGCCCTGCGAGAGGATCTGATCCGCAAGGATGCCCGGCTGGCTGAGCTGGAGAGGACAGTGGGCGACAAGGAGGAGGAGGTGGGCCGCAGGAGTGCCCGGGCAAGGGAGGAGAGCCAGGAGGAGGTGAGACGGCTCCAGGAGGCCAAGGCTGAGCTGGAGAGGAAGCAGAAGAAGATGCGGGCCATGCTGGATGAGTACGTCAGGAAACTCAAGGACCAGGTCAGTGGGAGCAGTAACTTCGTTCACCTTTGTACACCGCGGAGCATTACATTGTAGTTTTTCAGGACAGTTTCTTAATGGAATTCAGCAAGTGCATCTCTTGATAATCATAACTTTAGCAAGAGCATTTGGCATCTTTGTGTACCGGATTGGCTAGAACATTTGAAATGCTAATGAGTTTTCACATTGTGCACCACAGTAAATGCCATCCAGTGTGAGCAGTTCATAAGGCTGGGTCTCACCCAGAGGTTGCCACATAGATCCCCAGTCTGGTTGCATTTTCAAAAAATAGACGAATTGTTTTCACTATCTGTGCTGTATTTGGGGGAACATAAATTTTCTGGATGTTTGTTAATCAGTGTTTGATTTTATTTAGTGGTGATTTTTGGTGAGGCAAGGAATGCCTTGATCCATCAAACACTGACTACAGACATCCACTCAAATTGCTTGAAGTCAGCCATGGGTTTGTCGATCTGAACCATTGAAAATGGCCTCTCTGTGGCAACCTGTTGTTGGTGCACTGTACTTGAAATTGTGGTCGAGTTCGGGCAACCTATTCTTTACACTGGGTTCTTGTTGTTGAGCTTGAAAGGTGGAAACACGACCCAAGAACACTTTTCTCAGAAGAGAATTACACACCACCTCCCCGTTGGGGTTTTACAGGAAGTTGTGAAATTTTGATTTTAAACTGCTGCAAAAAATTGCAAGGTGGCTTACAAAGCCAGCCACAATGAGAAGTTTTCCAAAAACCAATGTCATCAGTTTTCCATAAAATAGAAATGAATATTCCTTTTTCATTAGAAAAGAATTCAACCCAGTTATCCAAACATTAACCCTCCAAGAACATACATGGACGCCGCCATGTTATTTGCCACCAACTACCAGGGATAACAACCAGTTGAACGTTCCCAGTGTTCAAGCATTCGAAACCAAGCCACGTGAACTCAGCCTGTGTGTGTGCAGTTTCTTGTTTACATATTTTGGGCGTCTCTCTTCCAGCTGACGAGGTCAACCCGCAGCGACATCATGGTCAAGGAGCTGTACCTGGAGAACTGCAAGCTGCAGACCGCCCTGCAGGTTACTGAGGAACGGCAGAAGAATGCCGAGCGGGCCTGCCACAACCTGACAGAGAAGAACCAGGTCTACCTCCGCCTCATCCGTAAGGTCTCGCCTGCAGTCCTCTAAGGAGAGCTCACCCTCCTCCCCACCCCCTGCCCCCCGGGCCAGAGCGACGTGGTGCTGAGAAAAGTGCTGCTGAAATAGGGGCTTCATCCCTTCTTCCCCTTCGCCGTTGGTGGAATATGTAAGAGTTATAAGGTTCCGCATTGAAGAGTTACTCCCTTAAAGTTGTTGGCCAAAAGTACTGTCATCGGAGAGGTGCCATTAGTCTCTGTGTGACAAAGCTCATGACCTGAAATGAATTTTCTCTTGTAGAAAATTGAGTGAAAAATGAGATTATGATTTTTATGCAGAATCATGAGTAGATGAAAAGCAACATTTTTTAAGTCACTCCAATTATACTCTGAGATCAATTTTTAATATCACTTTGGTTCTTTTTTGTGGAAGTTAATCGGACACTTTGGCTGTATGGCTGTATAAATTCTATTGTGTATTCTGCGATGGACTTGTTTACACTGACAGCATTCAGCATGTGCCTTGCAGCTGTCCCAGATGTGCATTCAATGTCACCTTGACTGTGTTTCTTAGAAATTGATTGGAAGTGTAATCTGTAAAAATTCTGCATTGTACAGAGCTAAGCTCAGTTGATTACTCCGTCCACTACGATGCAGTACTAAATATGAGATTCTGAGACCTCAAAGAGACATTCCACTTCTAAGCAATGGTTGTATATTTCTGCCGTAAATCAAATACAGTTATCATATGCACTCTTTAAAGCATGTGGTTGAGCATTGCAAATTGGACTTTTGAAAGCTGCCTTTATAAACTGTTTTAAAGCATTTGAGATGTATGTAGTTTGCAACTACGTAAAACCTACAGAGATGTTAACGTCAGCTTACACTTCTACATTTCTCTAAGAAAGCATACATGTAAATTTGGTCATTGATAAATATTTTCCACGTTAAAATTCAGGCTTGTCAAGGGTCTCAAGTCCCACAAAAACGGTTAAAATTGGACAAATCCCACTGTAAATGTCAATGATATCGAAATCATTGAAACCTAATAGAGGGTTGCATTTAATATCTAAGTTGCCAATCCAAAGGATTTGTGGAAAAAAGAAAAGAAAATTAAATTTGAAATTTGAAAAAAGGAATAGTCAGCAGACTGAGGGAGAATCTACTCTGGGTAAGCCAGAGCTTATGCCTTAATTGCATCAAGTTGGCTCTTTCTTTTCTTCTTCTTTTTCTTCTAAAGAGGTATTCCTCAGAGCTTTCGTTTCACTGGCTTTTCTCATATCATGCAGTTTAGTCATAGATTTCTGTGTCTTTGACCAAAAAAGTGTCTTCCACTAAACGGGATGGTTTTGACTATATACTCTTAACTGTATTTTTGCTGTCAAATACGGTAGTATATGTAAATACAATTTGTCACTTCGCACTTTGGGCAAACTGTAAATTTCAAGTTAAAGGAAAAGACATTTGTTCTCTTTCTGAAAGTGCCATGCAGGTCATCGAACAGGGTTTTCAAGAGAACCTCAATTATCTGTCAAAATGTTTGGAATTTGGTGCCTTATTTTTGACAATACGCTCCCTATTGTGTGCATATTCAAGATCAGTATTCGCAGATCGTTGCATATTTTATGAAAAAGATACTTATATGTATAACTCTTGAAAAATAATGTTTGCAAATGACACTAAAATTCGTTTTTTATTCAATTGTTTTTAAGTACTGTATGATCATTTTGTTTGGAATGACTGATTAAAGTTTCCAAGTCTTTTTCAAAGGCATTTCTAACAACCGTACAAACTATGTAAATATTTTGTTTGTAAAAAGACTCTACTTTTTAAGTGGATGATACATCTATAAAATCATCTTTCATGGATTTGTCTTTTTACATTAACAGGAAGCTATTGTGTCATGTACATATGTATATATATACTGTTGTATTTGTACAAATCCAAGGTTTGGTCAGTGTTTCATTCATTAATTGTGTTATTTATATCTGATTTTCCACAACAACTTGTTATAATCAATTTCTTTTCTTTTTTTTTAGTCCTTAAATTTGTCTTAGAAAATGTATATTAATACACTGTGTATCTTGCTTTCTATAAACTTTATGGTGAAATGAGTTAATCTTGAAGAAAAAATCTATGACAAACATGCACCAAATGGTCGGGGTCGTTCAGTGCTTCTTTGACCTTCATTCTCAGTGCGTACCCTACTCGTCTTTTCTTTCCCACGAAAGTGTAAAGTGAACTCTGTCAGTTTGTCATTTTTACCAGTAACCGTAATTAAATGCATGAATATGATCATTTTTCGTGTTGTGTGTGCAGTTTTTTTTTACCGAGTAACATTGTTACATGAGCTAAGTCAACTCGCTCTATTTTATTTTGTTTAATATTTCGTTAGGCATTAATCAACTTTTTCATGCAAAAGTGAGATTCAGTCGGTTAAGTCAAATCACGATCACTTTTCGTTCGGTACAGAGTAAGGTGAAATATAAGAAAAGACACGAATTATTGACACCATTCAAAGACTGGGAGCGTGTGTATACCGTTTGAGAACTGTTAGAGCCCCACCAAGTCTGGCATCCTACCATGCTAAAAGATGACACCTCCAGTAGGACTCGATTGATGTCCAGACGTGGTTCGGAGACTTGGCCGTATTGATGCGCGTTTAATAAAAAATACGCTGGAGAAGCTGTTGCGAATTCAGGTGAATATTGATTATTAAATTTTTGTTAAGTGTCCGTTCGTCGTGCTCTAGTGTAATGTTTCTCTCAACGTCAGCTTAAAAGCTGATGGGTGGGGTGTGGCCTTTTTCTGCACCGACTACTAAAAAAATCTATACACATCTAAATTTGCATGATATTCACGTGATCTCAAAGTTTCACATCACAGTGTACAATTGTATATGGTAAAACACTGCCAAGAGTAGTGCTGAACATTTTGGAAAAGAAAAAATCGAACCAACATTAGGGCGCTCTCACTGTAGACTGAATGGTTGCAGATGCAGATCAGGAAATAAATTGCCTGGCAAAGACAGCAGTGATGAAGAATACCCTGTCGAAAAATCACGCTAAATACAAGTTTCGATTTTAGGCGTTTAAGACACACATCGACTTTAACACTCCTTCATCCTTTTCTTTCAGTTTTAGTGGACATATTTGCATTCAAGGATGACCTTTCCTATTTACAATCGTACATGAACCACATTTGGGGTGACGACACTCCGTTGTAAAAAGAGGCCATTTTGAGGACACACTTGTGTACACATTCAACCAAGGTGACAACTCGTGGGTTATTCTTTTCGAAAATGACAATTTTTATACTAAACACACGGGGCCTTGTCAACCATGGTTGGTTAATGGTTGAACTTCGTGCAATGTGCCAATATCCCACTGAATACAGATATTGGGTGATGTACGAGCCCTACTAATCAGGTAAACATTTTTATTACATTTTGAAAATAATTTTCAAGACATTAGCTGTGAACAAAAAGAAAATCATTCGACTGAATCTATTACGCGTTGGTTTGTTTTGAGTTTAATTAGATTCAGCTAGAAGCGCTGATTGGCAGTGGTACATTTGACGACAAAAAACTTCACAGTTATGTAGCAGTCGTTCATGCACAACTAAAAGATCCCACTGATTGAGGTAACTCTCTCTGCTATAAATAAGATACGGGATTCACTTTGGAAGCAAGATATTTTATCTTCGGAATCGGTTCTGAAAACGAGCTTTTCGACCTGACATAATTTTCATCGGCTTCCCTTTATTGAAAGGAAAAAAGTTTAAAATCAATACAACAATTAGCCCTCTTTTAACTTCCAATTTAACTTCTTTGTACATAAAGGTTTGCAATCTATACATATCAATAGGTTTCAGTCTCTATCTGACCTATCCTGCGACCTTTCATACATGACACAGGCTGTTTTCACTCTGGTGCAAAAGGACACCGCTTAGGGCTTGTGGAACAACAGGGTAAGCCCGGGGCATCCGATGTTTAACCGTCTCCACAACAGGGTACGGCCTCGGCTAGCAACTCTTGTTGATGCGGGATGGAGTGCTCCAAAGTATTCCGTCACTTCTTGGGAGGGGGTTGATGGAGAGTTGTACCTTTTCTTAAAGGGGCGAAGCACAGTAGCATAATGGGTTTAATGCTCGACAGTGGAAGTGGATGGGGATTGATGGTTTCAATACTATCTTTCCGTTTTTTCCAATTTTTCAGAGCCCGTGGATGTATTGGCTTCTTGTCGAGCAAGAATATTAGTTTCAAGAAAAGCAGCACAGATATTAACTCATTTGTCACAGTAATATGTTGCTGTTGTATATGATCACACAAGCTCCATCCTTCAATTTCAAAATATCCATTGTGCAAATATTTCGATTGCGCACCTACTGTCTTCCCATCCTGATGCTGGGTCCGAGTCTAAAATGGTTGACATTTTTCTTTCCCTGAAAACATATACCGGAAGTAAGGTTTGTGGTGTTCGAGGTAACGCGGCGTAACTAATTGCTGTTTCTCACATCCAAAACCATTTTAAATCTGGCCAACGCAAGGCAAATTGTACGGCTATTTGGATCTGTTAAAATTTTAACATCGGGTCAACAATCATTGTGCCAACCCTGACCTTGGAATTACTGTGTATGCTGTGTCAAACAAGCCGGACAGTGAGGATGAGGTTAAACTCTAGTGACCCGTGAAGGTTTACCCCCAACACACCCTTTGACATCCAGGAACAGCATGAATTATGATCCAAGTCCTGGATTAGGGAGGGGAAAATATTGTTTTTCTGACAACAAATGTTAATTTGCTCAAACTTCACTCCACACCCAAAATGAACGTTGTTCCTTAAAATACAGCTGGAAACGCCACTGGAGCAAGTAAAGCAAAGCTCGGTCAGCCGTGACCACACACGAAGAGGAATAATGTTGCGTCATGTCCGTGCAGAGTAACGCTATTATATAGAGTTTTCAAAAGGCAATCATTGCATGCATTGGCCGAGTGGTTAAGCTGGCTGACTAGTGATAGAGAGCATGGGGTTCGAATCCCGTCGTTACATTTTTAGCTTTTCAATGTGTTTGCAGTATCAAGAACTATAAAGCATAACAATTTCCATCCTAAAATACCAACAGTATCTTAGCCAAC